CCCGCCGCCACCCAGAGGTCATTGCCCCCGGCGGGCGGGCGGCGGCGGCGGCGGCAGCGGCGCTGGCGATGTCCTGTGCGGTTGCGGTTGCAGTTGGCGAGAGGGGTGGCGGGCCGAGCGGCGTCGCGCTGTCTGCCCGGCGAGGAAGGGGGCGCGCCCGCCCGGCCCCGGCCCCGGCCAGGCTCAGTTTGAGGTGTGCCACCAAGGGAGGAGGACCGTGCGTCGTGTTCGTGTCGGTGATTATAGCGTCGCGTGTCAAGCAAACAGGACCAGTATGATGATGGCAAGGCATTCGGCGGTCAGGTACTCGGACGAGATCAACGACAAGCTCATCAAGTGGATGAACGAGACGGGCTACAACATTGTGCAGATCAACGGCCAGAGGATCTCCACCTCTCCGCGGATAGACAGGAGGCCGGGCCGGTAAGTCTTTGTCAGGCGATTAAACGCCAGTACTTCAAGTGGGCGAGAGTGCGGCTTTAAGGCAGCCTTGTTCACAGCGAACACTTTGGTGGGTGGCTAGGGCTAGAAGAGTTTGCGAGAATTCTAGATGGAGAAATGTGTTCACGAGTTGACTCCGGCCTGATGGCTCCCCTCATCGCAATGTGGTTGGGAGTTAAAATGGGTTTCGACCACTCCTAATGTAAGATAACCTTAGCCTTAACCAATTGGTTGGTCGTCGTTCTAAACGCCGGGGCCGGCCGGGGCGCTGCCGGGGGCCGCTGCCGATGGCTTGAGGGTGGCCATGGTGTGGGGTGGGTCAGGGACCAGTGTTGTGACGCGCCATTGGGGGTCAACGACCTCGCCCTGCTCTGCCATTGGTTGTCTACGGTCGTTGCGTTGCTGGCGGAGGATATCGGACGGACTTGGAGCTCATATGACAAAGTTTCTTACGATCTCTCAAATTATTGCATCGTGCATCTGGTGCCCGTTATTTAGTTTTAGGGTTTTTTGCAACTTCGACGCACGGTATCCACGTAGCCGCGTGCTCACTGTCGCCCTGCTCCGTTGTCTGCTTGCAGGGGTTGCGAGGTGTTCGTGGGCAAGATACCGCGGGACTGCTACGAGGACGAGCTGTTCCCCGTGTTCCAGCGCATCGGGCACATCCACGAGCTGCGGCTCATGATGATGTTCTCCGGGACGAACCGCGGCTACGCCTTCGTCATGTACGAGCGGCTCCAGGACGCGCAGCGCGCCGTCCAACAGCTGGACAGCTACGAGATCCGCCGCGGCCACCGCATCGGCGTGCTGCCCTGCGTCAACAACTGCCGCCTGTTCGTTGGCTGCTTCGGACCGCCGGACGAGCGCACCGAGGCCGAGTTGCAAGAGGTACCTGACGACGGCCGTGGTGGCTAGGAGAAGGGGCACTTCTCTATAGATTCAAGCGTATACTGATTTTTCTGCACACAGAAAATGAAGGAATTTAGCGTTTGCCCTGTCCCAAGTTATTTTTGACCTTATTTCAAGGATTTTTCATTTGTTTTATTTCCTGGGGCTAATGCCTGTTTCCCTTGGTACAATTTTTTAATTGATTTTTAAGAATTAAATGTCTCTAGTTTTTTCCCCTAATTTTTTTTAAGCAGGGTGTACCGGGTGTAACTGAATACGCAGCAGTGTTGCGGGTTCGCCTACTCTTTACACCCGTAAGGGGTCATTATGGCCCTGCGGCCATATTGAGTATGCAATCCAGCAACACTGCTGCGTGTTCACAGTTACACCCGGTTCACTTTGGGCCAAGTACCTCTCGGGGAAGCCCCTCGGTGGCTGAGGAGGGTTGTGGCTCACCTCTTTGTTCTTGCAGGTGCTGCGCTCCGAGACGGAGCACGTCGTGTCGGTGAAGAAGCGCGAGGGGCGCAACGACCGCTGGTACCTGCTGGTGGAGTACATGAACCACCGCGCCGCCGCCATCGCGCGCAGGGAGCTCACCCCTCGCCGGAGCCAGCTGTTCGGCCCCAGGGTCATCGTGGACTGGGAGATCCAGCTGGACAAGCACGGCCGCAAGCTCGCCCTGGAGCAGCGACGTGCGGTCAAGCCTTCGACGACAGTGAGTATCCGCGCGGGTGTCGTGGAGCATGAGGAAATGCCTGCCTATTGCACGATTTGTTAAAAATATGTGTGTGTGTGTGTGTGTGGGTGGCTGTGCTGGAGTAGGCTTGCTTGCTAAGTTGTTTGGTGTGGTGGTAGCCATCGCCTTTGAGGTAGACGTTAAAAACGATTCATTTAAATCACGCGCACATTTGAGTTGCTGGATAGTATATGTCGATAGGGTATATGTTATATGATTAATTATCCCGTCTTCCGTGAGCGCAAGGTCAATCCTTATCTCAAAATCACCCTGGGGGGGGGG